TGCTCACAGGCTTTTAAGACCCCAGATGCTACTGACCAAGGTAGAATGTAGAACATTGTCTTTATAAACTGTGTTATGCCAATTGAGCTAGATGTGCCCCGAAACCATGATCCCCACAGCCCTCCGCCCAGCAATTCAGTTCCTCAGGGAGTTTGGATGTGCCTATGGATCTTCCATGACTTTTTCTTATACAAGTTGTGCTGGCTTCCCCAGTCATTCTTCCTAATTTTAGATCCCCAGCACTGGTAGATGTAGGGATTTGGGTCAGAAAATGGATCCCCCAGATTGGGAGAGATGTAAGAGGGAGGTCTGAGTGACTAAAAGTAGCAAGAATGATGAAATAATCTTACTTAGAATTTGAGAAATGGGGAATCCATAATCCCATTATTTTTTTCCATTGTTTATGCTTCCATATGTTTTGGTAAATACCTTGTAGAGGAATAGTTGTGTTGAGGGTAGGGTGTATGTTTGACTTCATGAGAAACTGCTGCAGCTTTTCCAAAGAGATTATAACATTTTACAATCCCACCAGCAGTATATGAGTTCCATATCAAAATTCTCATCAAAACTGGTATTGTCAGTCTTTTTCTTTTTTTTTTTTTAATGCCATTCTGGTAGGTGTGCAGTGGTATCTCATTGAGGGTTTTTTTTTTAAATTGTGGTGGAATATAGATAATAAAACATTTGCCATTTCAACCATTTTTACATGTACAGTTCAGTGACATTAATTATGTTCACCATCACCACTATCCATTTCCAAATTTTTTCATCACCCTTAACAGAAACCTAGTGCCTCTTAAGCAATATAGTCTTTTTTTGGTAAGTTTTATTGAGATTTATGTTCCATACAATTCACCCATTTGAAGTGTACAATTCAATAGTTTTTCAGTATATTCACAGAGTTGTGCAACCATAACCACAATAAAATTTAGCACATTTTCATCATCCTGAAAAGAAACCCCATACCCACTAGTCTCTCCCCAGTCCCTCCACCCTACCCACTCTACCCCCAGACTCTGGGAAGCACTAATCTACTTTCTGTCTCTATGGATTTGCCTGTTCTGGACATTTGATATATATGGTCCTTTGTGGCTGGCTTCTTTCACTTAGCACAGTGTTTTCAAGGTTCATCCATGTTGTAGCATGTATCAGTACTTCATTCTTTTTCATGGCTGAATAACATTTTATTTATCCATTGATGGACATTTGGGTTGTTTTCACTTCTTGGCTATTATGAATAATGCTGCTATAAAAGTTTGTACAAATTTCTGTGTGGGCATATATTTGCAATTCGTTTATATACTTAGAAGCAGAATTTCTGGGTCATATGGTAGCTCTATGTTTAAACTTTTTAGGAACTGCCAGACTGTTGTCCAAAGTGGCTGCACCCTTTTATATTCCCAGCAACATATGAGGGTTCCAATTTCTCTATGTTTTTGCCGGCAAGTGTCATTGTCTGTCTTTTTGATGATAGCCATCCTAGTGGGTGTGAAGTGGTATCTCATTGTGGTTTAATCCCATTATTCTTACACAACAATTGTTCCTGTTTTTCTTTTTGACTTTTTCATTTTTGTCCATATCCCACGCATCTTTACATAGGTGTCTCCTGTTTTTGTTTTTCTGTCTTAGCTTAATTGCTTATATGTTTTTTGATGCTGCACGAATACTCACAGGGATCATTGTGATGCTATATGATGCTCTTGTGAAGTGGATGCCCAGGGATCTTTAAGATAAGAGATGTCTTAGATGTGGGGTGGAGAAGGTTTGTGGTGTCCTAGGGAAACGAGCACCTCTCTGCATCCACAGGCTATTGCTACTATAAGCTCCAGTTTGCCTTTTCCTTGGACAGACTAGGCTGTTTCACCAAATGCCGGAAGCCATGCAGGTGAGTGTCCCTTCTCCCAGGTCATAAGTTGGGCAGCTGGCTGCTTGGCTGGGTGGAATACAGGGAACCTAGCTAAGTGTTTGAGTAGGAGAGCCCTACCCTGTATCACTGAGCACCTTTCTCCATCTCCAGTGTGACCAGCTACCAGCTTTCTGCTGGTTACTCACGGTGGCCCTCAGTGACATCCCAGGTAAAGTGGGAAAGGGAGAGATATGGGAATATGTGTGAGTGTGTGTGTGTAATGCTGTGGTCCTCTCTGGGCATATGTGTGTAGGGTATGTTTGACCCCACTCCCTAACCCCATAAGTCTAAAGAATATAAGATTGACCTCGCTGATGCCCCCTTTCTTTCTCAGGAATGGGTCTACCAGATGCTATCCCGACAGAACAATTACACTATCAACAACAAAAGGTCAGTCCTAGCCTGGTCCCACCCTTGAAAGCAATCCTTGGGAGGGAATAGATCAAGGAAGAGGAATTAATACACTTGATTGGACGAAGGTGTTTGTGAGGATCTGAGAAGTTAATCCTCTGTCATTTTTTCCCACCCTCTCCTCGACTCCAAAGAAATGGAGTTGCTAAACTCAACATCTTCTTTAAGGAGCTGAAGTATAAAACCAACTCTGAGTCTCCTTCTGTCACGGTATGTCCTGCCTCACTGAGCCTGTGATTCTCTTAGGGATCTGAGCAGGGTGGCTGTCAGAAAACAAGGGTTGCCTCTGGGGTGCCAGAAGGGTTTGAGCCTCTAAGGTAGGGGACCAAGGAAAGGTACAAGGGGTCAAGTGTGAGGTTGAGATGGTTGGAAGAAGGGGAGCTGGGGGTGGGGGTGAGGTTTCTGGGGTGGTGGGAGGGATGGGGATGCCAGATGATGGAGAGAACGCCCTTGAGACATGTCTCAGTTTCAGCTGTCCTGAACTGTGGCCCCAACTGGACTGATGGCACCAACCAGAAGCTATGTGCTCCCAAGGGAGAGGAGCAGAAGCAAGGGGCCCAGGGGGCTACTGAGAGACCGAGTAGGGTGGGCAGAGTCCTAGGAATAGATGACAATGTCTTGGTTAGGGGTAGGGGGCTGTGGGGCTGGAGTGCAGCCTCTCTGCCCCAGTGGTCAGTGTGCCTCTACCCCCTTACAGATGGTCACCCTCTTGTCCAACTTGGGCAGCCAGTGGAGCTTGTGGTTCGGCTCTTCAGTACTGTCTGTGGTGGAGATGGCCGAGTTCATCTTTGACCTCCTAGTCATCACATTCCTGATGCTGCTCCGGAGGTTCCGAAGCCGATACTGGTCTCCAGGCCGAGGGAACAGGGGTGCCCAGGAGGTGGCATCCACTCCACCTTCCTCCCTTCCCTCCCGTTTCTATCCCTACCCCACATCCCCCTCCCTGTCTCAGCCTGGTCCTGCTGCCTCCCTAGCCTTGACAGCCCCTCCACCTGCCTATGCCACCCTAGGCCCCCGCCCATCTCCATTAGGCTCGGCAGAGCCCAGCTCCTCTGCTTGTACTGCAGGGGAGCTCTGAGGGAGCAGGAGTGTCCCCCAACCCAGGCAGGTGCTTCCCTTGGTGGGAGGGGGCCACCCTTGGCAGGATGAAAGGGTGTTTTGGGCTTCCTCTCAGAGCTGCCCAATTGCCTTTTGTGTGGGGAGGGAAACAGGATAGGTAAGGAGCTCAGAAAGTTGCCCTAGAGAACAGGGTTCAATGAAGTGGCCCAGAATTGCCCCAGCTCCTGCCCTGTTCCCTCTGCCCCTGTCTCTAGAGCACTTTGATTTCCCCACCGAAGTGCAGCAAGTCTCCTTTTCCCTTGGATCAGCCAAGTCAAACTTGGAGATTTGGCAAGGAACTTTCCTAGGCAACGACTGACGGCCAGAACAAAACACAAACAAGGGCACACAAAGGCATGCACAGGTTTCCTACCCGAAGACGACTGAAGCCAGCTCCGGACTGGCCTGGCCACACTGCTTTCCTGTGACAACAGACAGCTGCTCCTCTTGTTGAACTTGGGTGGGGAACCCCACCCAAAAGCCCCCTTAATTTATTCTTGGGCAATTCCCCTCCCCGATTCCCCAGGGCAGGGGCTGGAGCAGACCAATGCAGTGATGGCTTGGCCATTCCCAGTCGGCCCTAGGACTTGTCCAGCCTCATCTACCCTATGCCCCCATGGAGCTGCAGTCCTGTGCCTCTGCCTGGTGTCCTTCACACCTCAGCACATTTGCTTAAGCTATTTCCTCAGCCTGGAAGTTTCTCCAACCTTCTGATAGTGAACTCCTACACATCCCTTAGGACCTTGCTCAGATGCCAGCACTTCTGTGAAAACTGCTCCATCTTGCCTTCCCTAGAATCGATCACTTCCCTCTCCCCTGGGCTCCCATGGCATACTGTACCATATATTGGAGTGCTGATGTTGAATTATACTTTCTTGTATACCAGACTAGGAATGAGCTCCCTGTGGTTGGGGACTGAGTCTTGCTCATATATGTATGCTCAGGGCGTAGCCCAATATCCCACTTGGAGCAAGTAGGTAGATGCTCAGTAAATGTTTGTTGCATAAAGAAATGGCTAGATGGTTGGATAGGGACACCACGAAGGCGGGAGAGGGTAGATGTAAATCCCCGGGAGCCTATATTCCTGGGAGGTCCTAAAGGGGGAGGGGACAGACTTCCATGTTCCTTGGCTTCATCATGGAAGTGACCATTCTTCAGGGGCCTTAAGAAGAGTTGGGCTGTCCTGCTGGTTCGGAGGGCCCCTGCTCTAAGGGAATTGTTGAGTATCTGCTTTGTGCTCATCACCATGTTTGAGTAGAAGTGGGAAGGCAGAGTGCCTCCCTTTGGGGGACCTACCACGCAGTGGTTGGGAAGACTCTCACCCATCCAACATCTCAACCTCCCTTTCCCAACTTCCTTACCATCATCATTAATCCTCTGAGTCCCATTTGCTGAGTCCTGCCCACCACCCAGCAGCAATATGATATCCTCACCTACCTACTTCCCCATCTCCCTATCAACTTCCAGGTACTGGTGGAGGAGGGTGAGACTCAGGCCAGTGTCTTCCGGAACCTCAAAACCTGTATATTCTCATTCTTATGTCATTACAGAGGGAGGAGCAGACGGGATCCTCTCAGCTTTATTAAAGGAGAAATTGAGGTTCAGGGAGAGGATAAGAGACATCTGTATGGAAACTCTGGTTTTCTGACCCCCCAATTCCCCACCCCCACAACAGCATTAGTCCTGAGACCCGGAAGTCGCCCCTCCTCATCATCTTTGGGGATACCTCCGCTGCTGTCTTGATCTTATTCCTCTTAATTACAATCTCTCTGCCCTGAGGAGCCAAAGGGGAGAGTGAGTCTTGGGGGAGGGGAGAAGGGAGTAGTGAAGTAGATAGGGTCATGACCAGGAACTGATGTGACGACTTTTGACTTCCCTTTCCCAGATTCAAGCTGATGAGGGGGGAAATGGTGGTGTCATAACAGTCTCTTGTGCTAGAGCCCTCAGGCTCAGCCTGCCTTCAACTGCTCTCTGCCATAGCCTTGGCCTTGGCCTTGCCCCACCCCTACCTCATGCTCTTTTCCCAGCTCCCTATCCTTTGCTGGGATGGGCAGCACCTGCTGGATAAAGCTGGCTCTCTTATGGACTGTAAACAGCTACCATTTCTCCTCTCCTGATGCTCGAATTTCTCCTTATCTGCCTTCATTTCCACCCTGAGATGTTCTCTTATCTCCATCCCTCAGCTATGGGCTACCCTGGGACCCTAGGGTTAGGAGTTCGAATCCCAGCATTAGAGAAGAAAAGGTTTAAGTTGGCCTAGTTCAACTGCCTCGTTTTCTATCTGGGGCTTAGTAGGTGAAGTGACTTGCCCAAGTTTTTACAGCAGATTCTTACAAAGCCTAGAATCCAGGTCTCCTCCTATGACTCACCCTGCATTTCTGTCACAGAATCTGAGTGGCAAGGTTGAGGATAGACACCACATGACCTGGACTTGGAAATGCCCTTTTGATCACTTGGTGTTGCTGTGAGTGAAGTGTGTGTGTGTGTGTGTGTGTGTGAGACATGGGGAAGAGGGGGTCTCTGCTATCGGAAGTTCTTTTCACCCCTTTGTTGTTGTTATTGTTGCATGCCATCATTACCCTGCACAAACCTTAACAGTCGATTCTGTCATCCTTGGTTCCTTTTCCTATTTCTCTATCTCTCCTTCACCATAATTTCTTTTTCCCTGGGGGAAGTAGGGTCTTACATTCTCACTTCCTCCATGAGACTAGTTAGCTTTTCATACTCCTAGATCCACCCACCTTTCACCATCTTTTTTTTTTTTTTTAACAGAATTGTACTGAATAATTTAAAACCAAATTTCTCAAAGTTTTAAACTTATTGAGTAAATAAACATTTCTCCTAAACAATGAAATTCTCCATTTGTGCCAGGCTATGTGTAATGGCCTTGCCAGCTTGCACAGACTATTAAAAATCCTTTGTAATATTAATAATTACTAATACAAAGTACTAATATTGTTATCATTTACTGAATGCTTACTACATGGCCAACACTGCTAAACCCTTTACATGCATTTAATCGTGAAACCAGCTCTGTGAGGGGTACTGGTATGATTCTCATTTTTTAGATGAGGAACCTGAGGCTCTCCTCTCTTCTTCACATTGGAAACTGGGCAATCTGACTCTAGCACTTTATTCTAATAACCCTGCTTCTTCAAGAGCTCTGCTTCCGGTCCACTTGTACTGTACTTTGGTCCTCACTGTGTGTTGGTGGAAGTGAGCTCTTTCCTCTGTGAGTCCAGCTTCAACCCTCACTTCTCCAAAAGCAGGAGGGTGGGGTGGAGTGAAGACGGCTCCCCGCCCCCCGCCAGGGAGTGGGGGGAGCACCCGAATTCCATTTCTCATGTAGATCTCCGTATCACAGAGGGGAAGCAAGGGAGGGCCAGGGAAAGCAGACTCTGGGGTAGGTGGTCAGCTTGTGGATCAAAGGGAGAAGAGGCTAGGAGCTCTGATTCCAAGTCACAAAGCCCTAGGACCTTAGTCCTCTCTGGTCTCCCTGCATGTCTAGCAGCTTCAACTGGGAGGACTTTTGGCTTGGGCTGGGCATTGTTGTTGTTGTGTGCCGTTGAGTCAATTCTGACTCATAGCGACCCTATATGACCCAGTAGAACTGCACCTTAGGTTTCCTACGCTGTAATCTTTATGGAAGCACGCTGCCACATCATTCACCTGCAGAGCAGCTGGTGGGTTCGAACCACTGACCTTTCGGTTAGCAGCCTAGTTCTTAACCATTGCACCACCAGGGCTCCTAGGCAAGGTCATTGTACCCAGAGGGTATTTGGGCAAATGTTGTGCCCCGGTGAGGGGATTCATTTAGGAGACGTCCTGCATAAATGAGAGGGGCATAAAATACCCAAAGAGTCAGGCTGTGGGTCTGACTGAAAGGGACAGAGAGAAAAGTGGTAATGAATGCGTCTATCACAGTGAACAAGCCCCTGGATTGGAAGCCAAGAGTCCCTGGTTCCCTGCTGGCTCTGCAGGAACATTGTGTCTCCAGGCCTCAGTCGTCTCATCTATAAAACAAGGCAGTTGTAGTAGATATTTCTAAGGTCCATTCTGATTGATAACATCAGAATACTCTTGAGAACAGCATTGTTATTATATTAGTAATACTCACTGGACAAAAAAATCCCAAACCTGTTGCCATCAAGTCAATTTTGAATCATAGCGACCCCATGTGACAGAGTAGAACTGCCCCATAGGATTTTCTTGGCTGTAATCTTTACAGAAGCAGATTGCTATGCCTTTCTTCTGCTGTGCCACTGGGTGGGTTCAAATTGCCAACCTTTTAGATTAGCAGACGAGTATAAACCGTTTGTGCTACCCAGGGGCTTTATAAACATATCTATAATTTCCAAAGCTTTTTCATGGATGCGGTCTCGTTAATCCTCAGATAGGCGGGCCAGTCATTGTTACCCCATTTAATAAATGAGGAGCTGAGGCTCAGTGGAGGTCCTGCCTGAGGTCATACTATTGGCTGGTGGCAGAGCCAGGACCAGCAGTTGGGGACTTGGCCAGAATGGGGGTGTCAGGGCTCCAGGCAGGGCATAAAACTAGAGGAGGACTTACTCTGAGGTTTGAGCTGGAGGGGTTAATTCCTAAGAAAGTGGGAAGGTGTCAGGGGGAACTCTGGGTAAAAGGGGAGGTTTCCTAAGAGAACTGAGTATTTACCATGTGCCAGGTGCTGACTTTGTCCTTCCTTAATAAATCTTACAGCCACCTCTATGAGATAGGTTATCTCCATTTTACCAGTTGGGAAACAGGCTTGGAGAGGTTAGGTTATGTGTCCAAGACTACTGAGCTAAAAAGTGGCAGATTCTGGAAGAATATAACCAGTACCACTGAGTTGTACATGTAGAAATTGTTGAAATAGTGTATCTTCGGTTGTGTATACTTTCATCAAAATAAAAATATTAAAAGAAAAATAGTGCAAACTATAATTATGTAGCTATGAGGGGGGAGAAATAAAAAGTGGAGGATTCTGTACTGGAACCTCCAAAGCCCCGGTCTTTCCTTGGCTGTTCCATATGGGAAAGGCCAGCTGGGGGTCGAGAGGGAGGGAGCTTACTGCACTTTGGTGACCAGCTGGGAGTGTAAAATTGGCAGGTTGGGGCACAAGGCATCTGGATTGGGAACTCCTAGCTCTCTGACGGGACTACA